TCGGTAATGTTGAACCAGCAATTTACATATTCTTGATTATATCTTTGAAATAAGCTCTCGTTTTCTATGTTCAATGTAAAATAACCGCGAAAACTGTTGTTCAGTAGTGCGCAACAGGCTCTGATTAAGCTTGGAACGAACTCTTTGCCAAAAAACAACCCAGGACAATACGGGCCCCGAATGCCGATAGTTTGTGATCAGAAGAGGAATTAGATGGAGAGGCATTTATTGAAGTGGTGTGAACGTGAGGTACCCTTGTAGCTAAGCTCTGACTTGCCATCTGACCTGCCTTTTTAAAATCCACTCGTCAGGCCCTGCATGCTCATCTCAATAGGTGTGACAACGCGATAATTGATAGTTGACTGATTCATTGTCTTCCACCTATCGTTGAACGACTGAGACGTCAAGTGCACTTGAGTCCAGGCTACTTGAGGCAGTGTTAACGTGCATTTAAGCCAAATTCCATAATGGGAGTGCCAACTTGGTGCGTCTAAGTTGCCAACGCAGAAAAAAGTTGTGTGATGCCTTTAGGAGTGAGCTGTTTTCGCGCAAAATGGATCACAAGCCACGCCACAGGCATCACATCACTTTCCAGAGAGATCAAACTCCAATCGATTACCCGTAATTCGTTTAACTTTGCTAAACTGGAAATGAATTTTTGCATTTTGCAATTCCTACCCTCGACCATGTACTTTCAGTGATTGCACCAAATTCTACACACAAAGTCGTCTTGTGCGTGTTGGTGGAGACATGAGTTGTGGTTGCACTGCTTGTGAATTTTGGTTGCTTCATTCCCCCATAACGATGCCTTTCTTTCAACCAAGAGGTCACTGGTGAAAGACACGCAGACGCCTCATTTCATCAGAGGTCAGAGACTGTTTGACAAATTGAATTAAGCCATTTTTCAGGCAACACAGCGCACACAACTAAGAACACTAGGAACGCCTTTCCTGAGCGGGTTACATAATTCTTGGTAAGAAAACACGCGCATTCACCCTCCTCTACTTCGATTTTCGCTTTAATCATTCTTGTGAACCTACACACTGGTTAGGTTTCGGAACAAATTTCATTCTAGCAGTGACTTTCAGATAAATTAACTAATGAAGTTTTCTATTGCCATGACTGTGATCAAGTAGATTAAACCATCTTTCGAGGGGCAAGTGAGTGAATGTGGCATCATGGAAAGTTGACAGAAATGGCAAACTTCAAGACCAGTTATGGGCAAATTAGCATTTTCCGATTTTGGTGTAGTGTGAAAAAGAGAACTCAACGACCACCCATTAAGTCACGCACACACACACACGCACACAATTTGGCGCGTGGTGGAAGTGATTAAGGCAAAAAACGCCAGATTATTCACCTAGCTCGCATAAAAAACCATAGAAGCCTCTTATTTGCGCGTTGCATGAATTACACGACGTGCAGCACAGGCACTTGGCGCTTACATTAAATCCAAGGCCAACCACGCCATGTGAAATGCCACTCAAGATTGACCCGAAATGCGTTTTTTTTTCTTTTATTCCAAATCCTGTGGTTAGAATGAACAATCTGGGTGCAGTTAACATTGCCTGATCGGCTGCAAAAGTGGTCCTCCTAACTCTCCTTCAACCCTTTACTGGTCGACGCGAACCACCACGGTTAAACTTCAAAAGGTCCTCCGCCGCAGATGTTCCACCTGTTGGACATTTGGCTGTATTGCAACTTTGCACACACACACCACACTGGAACACGCCCATTTGACTCATTTATGAGTTTATGGAAAAATCACATTTCACGACCTGGGTAACTCGAAAAAGGGGCATAAGATCACGCTTTAGCAGTTGTCTTGACTACCAAAGAGTTACTGGCTGGAAACCTTTGAGAATCTTCAAAGTCCAGTCCACTTTGACTTCACTGGAACCTCCACCCACCACTCAGGCCTCGAAGCGATCTTCGACCCAGACCATCCTCGTCCATCACCTCATTCCTTGAAGTGGTTTTGGAAGACGGCAACACCATCTCTCCGTGGTCAAACCATGCCTTGCACATCCAGATATCGCGCTAATTTTGTCCGACTTATGCTTCCCAAGAGCCGTCTTACACAACAAATAGCAGTCATGCATTTGTCTGTGGTGTTTATGACCGTCTGAAACTCCTCCTCTAACTACCCCCTTACACCGGTAACATCCTATTTGCATACTCTCAGGCGTTATGTAAATCACTGCAAGGCCTTAAGACGAAGAACATAATGATGGTAGGCTGCTCCGCTAACGTGGCATCGGTGGCTGTAACTCGTCGCCTCGCCTCCAGTCTCTGTGCCCTTTCGTTTATTTTTTATTTTTTTTTTTTGGTGGTAAAAACTTCGACAGACAGGCAGCCTGATAGAGTAAACAGCCTCTTAGAGAGCTTGTTTGGATTGATAAAATCTGCGCTAATGTGACGCGTTTCCTGGCGAAGGAATGATTCAGAAATTGGAAATTATAATAACACCTGACGCTCAACGAAGACTGGCACGAGATTGGATACTGTGTGATTGTGTGTACATAGTTTTCAACACAATAACTTAATATAACAAAATAGAGAATAGTAAACTTTATCTCGGAAACATCGTCCATCGTTTTCTGTGACCTTGGGCCGTCTCTCACGATACGTTCGAATGACACCACGAAGGAAACATGCAGTTAAGTCATCATCGACGAGTTTGCGCACATCCTATACCCCTTTTGAACTGTTTATCAACTCAGGCGTGTTGCTGGTTCATTGACCTCAACAAATGGCAGTCGAAAGGGACCAATTCTGGTGAATATGCTGCGTGTGAGAGTCGCGCGAGCAACACGAGGAGGTTGAGTGTTGCCGGCTTTCCTGTCCAGTAAATGCCCTTTTCCGATCAAGTTCTTCACACAGTCTGTACACTTGTCTGCTGCAGCTTTCTGAAGACCCGTTTCCAGGAGTTCGTAATAAATTACACCCTTCATGTGTCACCACTTAAACAGGAGAACCTTCTTCAAGTGGATGTCGATTGCCCGGGATCCACCCACGATTCCACGCTTTACGGTTGGAATCCTCGTTTTAAAATACATTTAGTAACCGGTTGCAATTTTCCACAACAAGTCCTTTCACTACAAACTGGCGGCGGGCAAGCAGTGAAAGGCCTGTGTTCCCACGTTGACTTAGGTTGTCTTCGGTCGACATATATGGTGGGACCCAACTCCCACGTTTTTGAATTATTCCCATTTGGTGCTGACGTTGTTTGAGTGACTCCTAAGTGAGCAGCAAGCTTGTTGCGTTGAGTCTTCATCCAACAGAGCTTGCAATTCCGCAACTTCAAACTTTCGAGGCTGCCGTCCAGGGCGCGGCTGGTCGCTAAGGTCGAAATCACTACGACGGTGCTAATGACTCCACGTTTCCTAAGAGACAAGGCCGGCAGCACCAAGAACATCACAAATTGATTCCCCTGTGTTTTAGAAGAACTCGTGTCTTGTTGGGATTGTTATAGAATTCACTTCCGTCGAATGAGCTGTTCATCAATTGCTACCGTGAACCCGGTATTCTGGGAGGTTACGTAACTCACGTTGACTCGTCGCTCGGTGTTATGAAACCTAGGCTCCGATCCCTTCAAACCAAAAAAGACTACCTAAATATATCCATCTCAAATGTGATTTCATACACCTGAAAGCAAAATATCCATTCTTTCTCAAATATTACGAGTTGGTTTGGTTTTTTCTGATGTGTAGGTGAAATTTGCGGCTTAGAAGGTTGTGAATCGCGTGAATTGGCAGGCCAAAAGACGACCCATTCTAATGTGACCACAGCCACGGTCGCATGTCGGTGAAATGCTTGTGTCAGCGGTCGTGTTGTCCTGCTCATGTACCCACCCCCGTAGGTGGACTGGCCCACGGTGTGGGAGACTTGTACCCACTCCCCACCCCCACCATTTCCCTCACACTTTCCATAAGCGAGTCCAACACCAGAAACCACACAAGTGTCTCGCCATTTTGCAAAATTTAATTAACGAAACCACGGTAGAGGCTGTGCATTACACAAAAATTCCACCGTGACAGAACTACTATCAAACTGACAGGCCAACAACAAGGAGCAGTCTGCAAGACGCTGAGTCCGCGTGGAACGATGTACGTGTGAAGTCTCACACGCAATCGCTTTTACGTGTCAAAACCTGGAGGATGTCACATCCTCTAAAGGCGTCAAATAGGGAGGGGGTTCGTGATAGCTAGGGGACAAGGGTGTTGATTGGTACCCGGAGCACGTCACAATTACACCCACCTCTAGTCAAAAAGGTGTGTAAAAATAGCTGACAGGATTCTCAAATCACTCAAACTCAGTTCTCAAAAACAAGGAAATGTTTGCCCAAAGCGAAAGACCTTCCACAAATTCTTCGCTTTCGAACGCTGACATCGACCACGCGAGTCAAGCACCACCGTCAAGATGATGGAGCAAGAGTTCTGATCGAGTTTTCCCCGGCAACGAAGGACCTTGGTGAGAGTGAATTGGGAGTTATTTCTGCTGATTGATGCAACCAGAGAAGTCACGCTTGGTGTGACGATTGACAGTTTTAAACGTACAAAATGCGTGCCATCGTGAGTCCTGCTCTTCTGTGTGGTTATCCAACTCACGTAGACCTGTTGTTCAGTGTTCTAAAACCACGCGGCCGATCCTCTCAAAAGCACATAAGACCTCGAAAATACTTTCATATATAATACAATTTTAGCGTCAAAGAACGAGTCTGTAAGAAATAGGTGGTACACCTAAGAGATATTTTGAGGTAATCATGCGCGACATGGCTGATTACGGTTTAATGAGAGATGCATGGCAGTCGTGATGCGTCACAGAACTGGCGCTGTCCCAAATTAGAGGCTGGCAGAGTGTGCGTGTGTGTGTGAGTGCGTGCGTGCTTTTTTTAATGCAACGCGCCTAGTCGAAAGCAAGACTAATGTAATGGCCGTGGAGAAAAAGCCCATTTCTGTTGACTCCGCGGTATCGTCATCCCCTTGGGTGCCAGAGGTTTAAGGGACGTTCCCACGAAAGTTGAACCACTTCTGGGACCGGGGTGGGACATTAATCGGATGCAGGTGCCGCTGGCGCATTTCACCAAACGACACACCGCCACCACCACCACCGCAGGCAGGCACGCGAGCGCCCCTTTTGTCCCACAGAAAATCGATAAGTAAATAGTTTTTAATGGCGCAAGCCAGGTGGTCAGCTTCCTGGCCCTCTTGCATTTCCAAATGACCAGAGAGGCCTCTACTCTCATTACTTTAGAAGAAGAAAAAGAGGTCCTTTTCACGCTCTAGCGTAGGCATTCCTTCGTGGGAACAATTAAACTGACGAATTCGGTTGGTTGGCCCGTTTTTGGGAGGGATTATACCGAACATAGAGCCGTTAAAGTGCGGTGTGGACTAGTGTTCCGCCGAGCATTCGTCGTGGTTAGACCAAAACACGCCAACTGTGTGCACCATAATTTGATGGAGATGTTGCCAGTTACGTAATTGCCCTTCCCTGGTCCCACAATTTACCAGCCACCTTAAAAAACTACAGTCTAGACCATTTGGCGGGTGCCTAAAAAGCTGTCTAGTGGTTTTGTGCATTTCAGATTGCGTTCTTCTAAGAGAACAAGTCACGCGTGGAGCAACTTCTTGCGCCAAACAGAAATCACACCACGAGGCGTATTCGAGCAGCATTTGAACGGCTTTCAATCTGTTAGATTATCATCCGAAAACACTGATTGATGGATGATGTTGACTTCAACAGAACACTGCTTGATTAAGTCCAATAACCTCATCCACAACTTGACCGCACCAAGTTAGGTGCCAATGGATTGGCTGAATTTTCGTTGTTTTTCTGTAAAGAAAATTTTACAAAGCACTCTGGACTTGCAAGTTCTTTCGTGCCCAAAATGCCAAATAAAAGAATCCTTTTTATTGATAAAACAAAGACCAAACACACCGAGTTGCCTGGTTTTACTAGAGACCACCATTAAAAGTTGAATCTTGAAGTCGCGTTGAGACGAGACGAGGTGATAGGATCACTGATGAAGCTGCACCAACGAGTTAGCAGAACAGTTAGACAAAGTCCAAAGCAATCGTGGAAACGCGCATTCGATTGCTATGTCCCCATTTCGTGAAGATGTAACAAAAAAAACATGAAAAGTGAACGGACGTGTGACTCACAGTGTCAAAGGTCAACCATGTCATTGCTTGTTTACTCTTGACAGTGGCGAAGAGTGTGTGAAAATGTGGGTGTCTAGGAAAGGTGTTGTAGTGAAATGCGTTTTTATGTGTTAAAGACTCGCTAGAAGCACACATAAACTGATTTTGCGCATTAAGCTCGAGCACACGCACTCCAAATGATTTCAAAAATGCCAACTCAGTGCACACGAAAATGGCAGTTTTTTCACACCTTCAAAAATATTCGCAACGTCCGTTAGTGCAGATCCCTTTTATCTCCCCGTCTAGTTGATTTTTCAGATGTCGAAGTTTCACGTGAAAGCGAGTGAATCAACTAACTCAGCAGTTGTTCGTTAAAACACTTTCCAAAGTCGCAAATTTCCGCACTATCCCTTCACAAATTCACCTGTCGTTTCCGCATTGATAGAGGTGAGCATCTAGAAGCCAATTGTTGCCAGGAAGAGCCGGATTTGAGCAATTGTGACATCTGCCCGTAACCATGGCAACACCCACTCAGATAACCGGTACCCAGATCCCTTGTCTGACGCTTGAACCGACCTTCCCACGCTGATGTAGGACAAGAGCCGACCTCGTGCCGAGAGGTTTTGTCGTCTCCCCCAAGGGATGAGTCATTTGTCAGAATGTCAACACGTACATAAGTCATGCGTGACCTTGACCCGATGTATGAGAGCTAATTAACACAGATGGGGTTGTGGGGGATTAACAGCTATCGCGCCTGAGTGAACCCTGGTTACCGACCTGACGGTGACAACGCCCCATCCCCTTTTCATTGGTTAGTGTATCAGATGCCTGTCATCCGTTCACTCATACACACACTAAGACGCATATTGGGCTGGCGTGACGCTAATAAATGGCCGTATCCTCTGTCGCCTCTCTTCTCTCTATTCTCGGGTTGTTACGGGCTGTTAACCATAGGGTTGTAGAGTAGTGCTTAGACCACAAGACACTACAGGGTTGTCAGCAGAGTGGCGTGGGTGTGGTGTGGCTTGGGGACCAAATGCAAACAATTACGAAAAACGACCCCAACAACCATGGCGAAGTCAACAGCGTTCGATTTGGCCCAGTGCACACACAGCTTGTCTTGCTTCTTTGTCCTCTATTCACATTTTCGCCACGTTATTACGTTGCATTTGACTCATTTACTTCGCCTTGTATTCACCTCAGTGAAAAACACAGGAATTATTCACTCCTGCTGGCAAAATAAGACAACAGCCAATAGACGTGGGCTTTTCAAGAGACAAATTCTTTTCAAAGCCTTTTAAAATTTCCTCACGATTAATTGCTGCTCTCTGAGGCGAAATGTTTTCCCAATTTGACAGAAGCACGCAGTTTATTATTAATTCATGTCATGACAAATTTCTCTCGCCAGAGCTTCGACCAATGCTGCAAAAAAAAACACCTTGAAGTCGAAATGGCATGCGCATCTGCACAAAAAACTGGTCAACTAGTGTTGGAATTTGCGACAGTTTTTTCTGTGTGTTCTCCCCTAGCCCTGCTTTTCCATCTTCACAAAGTGGGGACATAGCAATCAAGTGTGCGTTTCTACGATTGCTCTGGACTTGGTCCAACTGTTCTGCCAACTTGCTGGCGTAGTTTCGTCAGTGATCTTATCATCTCGTCTCGGAAAAGATTGCAGTCTGTGTTCAGGACATGTCGAAGCCTTTCAGCAGACGAGGTTGCAGCGTGGGGTCATGTTGCATAGCCACTTGTCACTGGGTTCCAGCTCACTCCTGTAGAATAGCCGGGTTACAGTAGCGTCGTCTTGCAGTAATAAAGATGCCCTTACGTTCTTAAATGATGCGAGTGCAATACAAGCAAATCGCCAGCACCGATTTCTTCTGATTGTCTGGGGTTATCTGGTCACAATTCATTTATTCAGCCATCTGCGACGGGGTTTGATGTCCATTTCAATCCGAAGACTCACAGAGACGATCGCGAATTTGAGGTCTAAGTTGCCGCTTCCAAGTTTGGTGAGCCTCTCATCTTCTCCCCATGCCGCACAAAAATCGATATTTGTTGACATGACACTCTGTTTCTGGAGGTTAAAATCACAAATCAATCCGAAAACCAATGACAAAGTCCTTGCAGAGGAACGAATTTGCTCTCCGAAAGCACAGATGTCTGTTGTGGAGTTTGAAGAACCATTCATCATGTCGGGGGTACCAATTTGTGTGGGCCCCAGCATGTGGTCTTGAACCACGACTGGGCCACGGAATTAACCCTGACCCAATGACGCTTCCTGATGCCCGCGATGAAGAAAAAAGATCGGAGAGGACGCGGACACAACCGTTCACTTCAGAGCTCAACCACGTTGGTGGCGATGTGTCGTGGGCAGCGTTTGCGCGTGTGTATTTATACCTCGGATGTGTGAATCATAGATGTGCTAACATCGAGACCAAGGTGTGAGGTTAATCCAAGATAAATATCCATGTGAATGAGGGGTGGGGAGTTGATGATCCGCGCGGCTGGCGACATGCTGTGAAAAGGGGGAAGCCTGTGTCCGAGGCTGGAGTTACCGGATTAAGGGGTGTGAATTAACACGATTCACAAAAAGTTTTGGCAAACACCTAAGTAAAGCAAATTCGTTGCTGTTGAAAACGAATGTTCGTCTGGACCTTTAGCATGAACCGTGGAAATTCGGGACCTGGAATATTCAGTGAAGACACCAGCTGAAAACCCATTTTCTACACTCAATCCGTGGGTGCAGCAAAACTGGACTAAGTCGTATTCGGATATTTAGCAGCATTCTTAGCATCTAACAAGAAGATTTCTTAGTGGAATGTTGGCCTGGACCATTCAAGCCACCTTACTTTCAATAACATTCATCTACACTATGCAGATTCTTAAAAACGGAATTTTATGTTCACGAAGGTTATGAAACGAGTCACCCTTGCTGTTTTACTGACTGGAAAATCAGTCCGGCACAATTTCTGAACAGACAGTCATTAAACCAAGACAAGTTACAGGACAGAGCTAGATACCCAAGAGATCCCTGCTTAGTCACTTATTTTAAAATAATCGATAATTTATCCCCATAATGTCCTGCTTATTTCACACCACACACAGGTTTTACAAATTGTTTAAGACAGGGAAAAACAACTAGTGGTGGATTTTTTTAGTGGGAGGGAAAAAGTCATTTTTAACGCCAAATAATTTCAGAGGTGGTAGCGAATTAAATATTAATTGGCCTTCTTTCCTGTGTAAAATTTGAATAAGAAGACTAGCCCTTAATTTTGGCAAACTAAAGAAAATAAATGCCAAATTAATCGAGTGGAGGTTTGACCAGGGGAAATCAGGAGGTCAGGTAGAGATTTTGTGCGGTGGATTTTGATTTAAGTAGTGTTGTTCGGTCAGGAGTCAGTGAACAGCCTTTCAAGGGACGCTAGATTGCTCTGGGACCGTGCAAACCGCGCCGGTTACTTGGTAACAACCCCTGGTGCCTTTTTTGCATTCAATGCCTCAAGACAACATGATAAACCTCCAGACACACCAGGAATACACTGCCTTATTTCGAAATTGTCAGATATGACAAACAACTGGCGTGGAATCCTTCCCTGCTAAAGTTTCATGTTCTGCAATCTTCGGCAACGTGCATTTAAACACTGTTTTGGAATAAAATACGTTTGCTCAAAACAAAACATTCTTAACCTGCTAAATGCTTAGAATGATCAGAGGAAGCCCTACAACGCTAGAAATGCTCAAAAAATGGTCTCTTTCCCAAGGTTGCGACATGCGAAGTTTTTTTACGCAACCAGCTACTAATCACACCGATGCAAGAATCTAGGTTTCCCTTCTAGCGATTCCCTTTAACTAGAAGCTGAGAACGGCCTCAATTAGAGGCTTGTTGTAGTGGAACTTTCCCGTTTTTAATTATTAATTGCTGTCATTTTGTTAGTAAGAAAGTTATTTCCTGTGCTCTCGTTGTAGGAGAGACCGATGTACAAGCGTAATGCGTCTGTCAAATAAGCGAATTATCCGACAACATCATATTTATGACTTGTTTCCTTGTGGCTAACATGTCTGTATCTTTCTAA